CCTGGGCAGACTATTGACCAAGAACAGCTACATGTTCATAATGGGCACTCCTGGTCCCAGAGGAATGGATCACCCCCCCCAAATACTTAACACATTGTACTTGCTCTAACCTGTGCCTACGGATACTCCATGTTCTTATCTTCCGACTCTTACCAAAAGATATAATTTTGGTTTTCTAATAATTAATTTCTAGTTGGTTCTCTTCACAATAACGGCTAAATGCCTTAAGTGCTCTTCTTAGACCCACTGGGGTTTTGGAAGAAGGGTACACTGGCCCATCAATCTCAAATTTTGATATATTTATTTCCTTCGCTATGTTTCCCCCCGGAATTAAACCCAAACAAATGGTGACCATATAAATGAAGCTTGTTATTCTGTTTTGGTCCTTGCATCTGTTAAACGCCTTTATTATACTGTATGATCCTTTGCTGCTCACCCTCTACCTATATGTATGGACTGGTAACTTCCATTTCAATGTGTCTGATGAAGTGTGCGTGCACACGGAAGCTTACACCCAGCATTAAACTCTGTGGGTCGTAAAGGTGCCACTGGACTCGGACTTTGTTCTGCTGCTCCAGACCAACAGGGCCACTCACTTGAATCTATCAACACAGCAGGGGGATTGTTTTGACTTGTACGAGTCTGCAAAACTACTTTGTGCATTATTTAGATTATTGAATTAACATTCAAAAAAACAGTGTGGGAATATTTTAAACTTCCAGGACATTCAGTGGCTGACCTAAAAGTAGCACTTCTCTTACAAAGGAATTTCAAAGGGAGATGAGAAAGAGAGACTGCTGAATTGCAATAGAAAATGAAGCTCAAGACAATGCATCCTCCCGGACTGAACTGAGACCTAGGTTTCCTGTCTCATTACCAATGCTGATTTATCCACGCCTATTACCCCTCTGCATAGCTCACCAGAATCCGATCACACCTGCTATTGTCATTTGCCTGCTAACGTCATTCGGCATTTGAAATCACTCCACTTTCCAATAAACAGGACAGATGGACTCCCATTCTAGCTGTATTTGAAGAAGTGAGCAGTGACTCACGAAAGCTCGTACCACACATTTTGTTAGTCTTTAAGGTCCTCCTGGACTCTTGCTCTTCTCTACTTGTGCATTATCTAGGAGCTACAAACGTTCTACAGTACCACCAAACTTGCTGCGTGGTTTTGTTATATATCCACATTATGTGTTAAATGCCATCAAGTTGCTTCTGACTTATGGCGACCCTATGAATTAACGACCTCCAAAATGCCCTGTCATCAACAGCCTTGCTCAGATCTTGCTAACTGAGGGCCGAGGCTTCCTTGAGTCCATCCATCTCATCTTGATTCTTCCTCGTTCCCTGCTGCCTCTCAATTTTTCCTAGCATTATCGTCTTCTCCACTGACCCTTGTCTTCTCATAATGTGACCAGAGTACAATAGCCTCAGTTTAGTCATTTTAGCTTCTAGGGAGAGTCCAGGCTTGATTTGATCTAGAACCCCAGTTATTTGTCCTTTTAGCAGTTCGTGGTACCTGTAAAACTCCCCCCCCCCCGGCACCGTTTCAAATGATCAATATTATATACAATTTTATATAGATTTATATAGATCTAGAGCTGTATAGGGGGCCACGGTGGCTCAGAGGTTAAGGTGCTGAGCTGAAGACCGGAAGGTCGGTAGTTCAGCAGTTCGAGACCCGAGTGCTGCATGACGGAGTGAGCTCCCGTCTCTGGTCCCAGCTCCTGCTAACCTAGCAGTTCGAAAACAAGAAATTGCAAGTAGATAAACAGGTACCGCTTTGGTGGGAAGGAAGGTAACAGCATTCTGTGCATCTCGGCATTTAGTCCTGCTGGCCACATGACCACGGAGAAGTCTTCAGACAGCGCTGGCTCTTCGGCTTGGAAATGGAGATGAGCACCGCCCCCTAGAGTCGGATTCCCTAGCTTTTGAGCAAGGGAAACCTTTAACTTTTTAGAGCTGTATAGATACAGACTAAAAGATCTATACATAGATTGGGTGGCCAATAGGAAGCACCTGGTAAAAATCCCCTAGAGTCGGATTCCCTTGCTTTTGAGCAAGGGAAACCTTTACCTTTTTAGAGCTGTATACATACAGACTAAAAGTAGATACTTTTAAATATAGATCTATACATAGATTGGGTGGCCAATAGGAAGCACCTGGTAAAAATGCATGCATTTTAATGAACTCAGGCCCATTTAAGACAAAATATTGGATTGGCTCCAGCCACCATTTTTCATTCAGCCTTTCCCCCACGGCCTCTCCTAACCTCAGCCACCATCCCAGGTAGGTTTGATTCATGCAGGTCCCATGATTCTGAATGGACGAAGGGCACGGGGCAGGGGGCTTTCTTCCATTTCCGCCCGGAGAAAGGTGGGCTGAATCCAAACCCCATTTAATACACAATAACCCCTGAGGATTATAACCCCTCAGGATTTTAACTCTTGCCAGCTGCAAGAGGAGGTTCCTTTGAATCGTAAGCAAACCAGCCACGAGAGCTAGGGAGGAGGTTCACATCGTCTCAGCGCACAACCCATAAAAGACAAAAATATCACTGCGGCTTGAGCAGGAAGGGGGACAAAGACCTACGCGGGGAGCACAAGGAGCGATGTTGCCTATCTAAGCAGCAACGGGGAACTCCATTCAAGCTTTCAACCCAACACCACAGAGGAAGCCGTTCTTCAATTCGGCCGCTGGAGAAGGCACAAAAGCCCCAGACGAGGTGCTCTGAAACACACAGTCTGTTTGCAAAGCTGAACAATACCCCCCCCCTTTCCTTGCATAACATTCCCTGAACTTCAAGGTCATGTGATGCTTTCCTTTCCTCATTTCCCAGCATCTGTCATAGCAAACACTTTCCATTCAGAAGAAACCACTGGGGGGGGGACACATAATTAACATGCCCAAATGTAGCAAAACAGAAAAACTGTCATAACCGGCGAAGACAGTGCAACGCAAACAATGCCAGGCCTGTTAAGAGGCAAGGATCGGAGGCCTCCCAAACTCCTTCACCCCATCCGCAAATCAGAGATTCCAGGCCTCTGCGGCAAGGGGCCGGCTGCAGAATGCCCCAGGAGACGAGGGAGTCTGCAAAGGATCTAAGGAAGAGACAGAGCCAAAAAGAGAGAGAGAGAAGGCAGCTTGGAATTTCCAAATGCCAGCTGCCACGTGCAGAATGCAAACTCAGAAAGTTCGTCCAACTCACCAGCCACGGTGCTTCTTAAACTCCCACCTGGGAACCATTAACATAAAAAAATCTGAAAGCGTCTGGATTAAAACACTGGCTGGTCTGCCGTCTCTCTCCTGTTTGGCTCGGGGAGAATCAGAACACCAAAGTAGCAAAAATTAATAATAATAATCTCGAGCGGGAGGGGGGAACACTTATTTTAGTTCTGTAACTCAGCAGCTGGTACTGCCAACAAAGCCAGGATTGTATACGGAGAAATGTAAAGAAACCCACAGGTTCCAGACCTGCCACTCATCACCACCCTGCCCAAACGGAACGGGATGATGCAATTTGATAAAAGGGTTGGAACACTTTCGCTATGAGGAAAGGTTAAGGCGCTTAGGGCTCTTTAGCTTGGAGAAAAGACGACTGAGGGGTGACATGACTGAGGTTTATAAGATTATGCATGGGAAAGAGCAGGTAGAGAAAGAGGTACTTTTCTCCCTTTCTCACAATACAAGAACTCGTGGGCACTCCATGAAATTGCTGAGCGGTCGGGTTAGAACGGATAAGAGGAAGTACTTCTTCACCCAAAGAGTGATTAACACTTGGAATTCACTGCCACAGGAAGTGGTGGCGGCTACAAGCATGGACTGCTTCAAAAGGGAATTAGATAAGCATATGGAGCAGAGGTCCATCAGTGGCTATTAGCCACAAGGTATAGCTAGGGGCTCTGGGGCAAGTGATGCTCTGTCTTCTTGGTGCTTGGGGGGGGGGTCAACAGTGGGAGGGCTTCTAATGTCCTGGCCCCACTGGTGGACCTCCTGATGGCACTGGTATTTCTGGCCACTGTGTGACACAGAGTGTTGGACGGGATGGGCCTTTGGCCTGATCCAACATTGGCATCTCTTATGTTCTCATGTTCTTATGAGGGATTGGAAAGGTATGCGTTTCAACAGCACCATGTTGCTTCTGGATCTCTGGGCTTCTGTCAAAGGGCGAAGACCCACATCTGCAAGTCCATTTCTCTGGCTCCCTAGGAAAACCCATTTGCCACAAGCTAAGCCCCAACCTGGGTGGCCCAGGCTAGCCCAATCTCATCAGATCTTGGAAGCTAAGCAGGCTCAGCCCTGGTTAGTACTTGGATGGGAGACCGCCAAGGAAGTCCAGGGTTGCAACACAGATAAAGGCAATGGCCAACCATCTCTGAATGTCTCTCGCCTTGAAAATCCTATAGGGTCACCATATATCAGCTGGGACTTGATTGGCATTTTCTACACACACAAGCCATCTGACCGCGGGGGGCCCCACACCATCAGCATTTGCCAATCTCCTCAAATGAGTTAACTGCAAGGGAAATCAAAGACATCCACTCATCTCCAGCAAAATCAATACGCTCATCTCATTCCCGCAGCTCGTTCACCCACACGTTTCTGACCTCTGCAGTTGCCATCCAAATCCTCTAATCTATTGCATGACCTTGAGCGAGTCATTATTTCTCAGCCACAGGCAAAAGCAATTTAAAGTCCTTGTCGGAATTCTGTATCGAGGGGCTCAAAGCCGAAGAGAAGAGGTATACCCCCTGGCCACTTTTTTTTTTAAATCAGTACAGCATATTGGCTTATTTTCACTTGGGCCTTCGATTCCCCCATCAGCAACACAGGAATTTTTTTTAAAGAGAAAACCGTCCTGCCTCACAGGAAAGTTGTAGAGAAGGAGAAGCCAAACCAAAAAAAAATCATAATAATTCTGCTACCAGCACCTCTACCTAAGGGAGGTCTCTCTCCCTCCTGATGTACAAGCGAAACAAACAAATGTTACCAACCGTGTGCCAGTTCAGCAGAGGTTCCCAGAACAATCCAGCACAGGCAGCCCAAAGGAAGAGCAGTTCTGCAGCAATCGAAAGGAGGCCAAGAGAAAATATCGCTAGGCGGGACCCAGAACTCAAGGGAGGCCAGACGGAGGCTGCCTACCAGGCCGGATTATCCCGAGCTATGCGCCCCAGGAATGCGCAACATCCTCTCTTCTGGCAGCTGGCCTGAAAGGCCCAGGACTGCCGGTTTTTAATCCAGAGCCTGTAAAGCTGCGATCACACACACACACAATGATCCACTCTCAATGCACTTTCCAGCTGGGTTTTGCTGTGTGAACCGACAAAATCAAATTCGAAAGCGCACTGAAAAGAGGTGGGTCGAAAGTGTGGATTATTCAGCGTGTGCGATCGCAGCCTATGTGTGCTTTTAGAAAGTCGCAATCAGCGAGCAAGGAAAAGTTTTGCTCCGGCCCATGAAACGCTTCAGGGGCACACCGAACCTCTGCTCAAGGCAAAGCAGCTGGCCGGGCTGGGCTTCCTTGACTGGTTGGCAGACTCCACTAGAGACGTGGCCACTGCAACCTCTGAGTGGCACCAGGGTCCGAGCTGCTGAGCCTCAGCTGCCCCCCCCCCAGGACAGTTCGCAAGAGGCGCAAGGACCACTGGGGGGAGGGGCTTGGGCACCGCAATGCGGCCCTATCAGGCCCCCCCCCCCAGAGCTCAGGACTGACCCCTCTCTGGTCCAGCCCCTGCCCCGTGGCCCCCAAAGGGTTCCAGACGACTACATTAATCCCAGCTCCAGGAGTTTGGGGAACGACCACGTACCCTCCTCAGAGCCAAAGCCGAGGAAGACTCGGCACCGCCCCCGATCCCTCCCGGGGTCCCCCACCCAAAGCCTGCACGCCCCCAATCCTGAGCCCCCGGGGGACAACGGTGAGGTCGGAACTCCCCCCTTCCTCCCCCTGGAGCACCTCCCCCCCCGACTCGCGAATTGCAGTCACGCGTCTGCCCCCGTTCCCACGTTCGCCCCGCGCAGGGGTGATGTAACCCGCATACCTGCCCGGCGGCCCCGCGCGATGCCCCCTCCGCGGAGCCGTCATTCCCGGCAGCTCGGCGATCGCCCGGCACAAGCCCCGCCCACTCGCCAGCCTATGAGCGGCCGGGGAGGCCCCCCCTCCCCGAGCGCACTATCCCGTCGGCGCGCTCCGATTGGCTACGCCGGGGCCACCCAGCCTCGGGGCTGGAGGGAGGCGGAGACTGGGGAGCCGAGGCCACGCCTCTTAAAGGGGCTCTCGGAATGGGGCTTGTCTCGGAATGGGGCGCTCTCGCTCTCCCCAAGAGCATGCTGCGCTGCTGCAACGCCGAAGAAGAACCGTTTGCTTTTGCAGCGATCCTGGGTACGCTGCAGTCCGTCGTGCTGAGGCCGAAGCGCTCGCTTCCCAGTGAGGTTGCACAGAGGATTGCCGCAGTGGACTGATTCCGTTTGTGCGCTCTCCTAAATCCTGCTGTTTTATTGCAAAGGAATTTCAGAAACATACTGGAACGGGAAATTGCTGAATTACAAGTTATTACAACATTCAGGACAATGAATCCCCCAGGGCTTAACAGAGATATCGGTTTCTTATCTTACTACACACATCGTTCTGTTCTTACTTATACCCAGAGATTAAACTTTGTTAGTCTTGTAGAGGCCACTGGACTCAAACTTGGTTCTCATATCTGTTGTTAACTCCTTTATTATCTGTATGCCAACTTGCTGCTATTGACATGTTCTACTATATGTGTTATTCCAATTTTAGCTATATTCAGGGGTCATTTCGTAGAAAAAGAGGTGCAGGAGCTCATTAGCATAACTCATTAGCATAACTTATTTGCATATGCCACATCCCCTGACATCACTGGACGTGTGTCAGAAGGCAGCACCCACCGCTCAGGCGCCACTGAACTGTTTTGGATTGCTAGCTATTGGGAGGGGAACATGTATGGGGGGGGGGGACACGCAGATCTGTCCTTGCAGAGGGGGGAGAGCTTGTACCTGAATAAAACTTGGTCTTAAAGGTGCCAGTGGATTGTTTTGGATTGCTGGCTTGGGGGGGGGGGGAACGCACAGATCTGTCCTCGCAGAGGAGGGAGAGCTTGTACCTGAATACAACTTGGTCTTAAAGGTGCCACTGGACTGTTTTGGAGGGGGGGCTGAGGGGAGCTCTGCAACTTACCTGGCTCTGACTGAGGGCTGCTGGGAGCAGGGGCTGGGGCTTGTTGCATGTGCCCGCCCCCTGGGCTCTTTACTGCCGGAGTTCTGCTCCTGTGCGCTCCTGCAGGAAATGACCCCTGGCTACATTTATTGCTCAGTTGCTTAAGTATCTTGACCCTAATTAGCTCTTCCTGGTAACTAACCCACCCCTACCTATATGTAATTGATGAAATCTGCTTCAATGTATGTGAAGAAGTGTGCACACACTTGAGTCTCTGTTCTTGCATGTACCCAGGGTTGAGCTTGGTTTGTTTTGGGGGTGCTGCTGGACTCTAGCTTCATTCTCACATTTCTATGTCAACTCTTGCATTTGCATGCTAGTTTGCTGCTATCCATTGATCTCTAGCCACCTGATCCAATTTCAGCTCTGCAGATGCACCTGGACTCTGAGTGACCCCTCCTAATGGCTCCCCCCACCCTCTTTTTCCCCTGTAAGTAACCCTTCAGATTTTATCCCATTGGTCTGAAGAAGTGTGCTTTGCACAGGAAAGCTTACACTTTGAATAAAACTTTGTTGGTCTTAAAGGTGCCACTGGACTCAGACTTTGTTCACCTAAGTTTGGTGCAGTGGTTAAGTGCGAGGACTCTAATCTGGGAGAACGGGGTTTGATTCCCCCACTCCTCCACTTGCACCTGGCTGGATGACCTTGGGCAAGCCGTAGTTCTGATAAGAGCTGTCCTTGAGAAAGAGCAGTTTCTGTCAAGAGTTCTCTCAGCCCCACCCACCTCACAGGGTGTCTGTTGTGGGGAGGGGAAGGGAAAGGAGTTTGAAAGCCGCTCTGAGACACCTTTGGGTAGTGAAGGGCGGGGTATAAATCCAATCTCCTCCTCCTCCTCCTCCTAAGTCCTGCTTTAGGCTTGTAGGAACGACTCCCCAGGAAGAATAGGGCCAGCCTGCCCAAGCAGGTTTACTCAGAAGCACTCCGAAGAAGGTCCAAGTTAAGTAGCACTTCTCTCTCATGTAGCATTGGCAATCTCCAGGTGGCGGCTTGAGGTCTCCTGGGATTGTAATTGACCGATTCTCCAGGCGGCAGAGATCAGTTCCCCCCCGGAGAAAATGGCCACTTTGGAAGCTGGACGCCATCATGGCAACATACCCCGTTGAAGTCCCTGCGCCCCCTAAACCCCGCCCTCCTCAGCCTCCACCCCCAACATCTCCAGATATTTCCCAACCTGGAGCTGGCAACCCTACTTCCTTGTGAGCAAGCAGATGTAATAGTGTTGACAGCCTCCAGGTGGCACCTGGAGATTTCCCGCCATTACAGTTGATCTCCAGATGACCAAGATCAGCTCCCCTGGAGGGAATGGCCGCTTTGGAGAGTGGCCTCTAAGGCATTGTACCCTACTGAGGTTCCGCTCCCCCCAAGCTCCATCCTCCAAATATCCAGGTAGTTCCCCACCTGGAGCTGTCAAGCCAACGAAGTAAGCTTTGTTTGTGTCCAATGGGACTTACTACCTGATAAGCATAAATAGAATTGCAATCTTGAATCAGGAAAGGCAGCACGCAGGAGTGTCCCTGGCAGCCAAGCAAGCCCCGCCTGTCTGTTGTGTACCCTCCAGGCAAGCCCCAGTCCTAAGCTCCTGCGGGGTCTGACTCTGCTCCTGTCAGCTTTCTTCATTATCCCAACTTCCACACCCATACACAGTAATGGGGAATACTATGGCATGAATTAACTTGGGCTTGGTTGCCAGCCACACACCCAGGGTTTGATTCCCCGCTCCTCCGCATGCAGCTGCTGGTGTGACCTTGGGTCAGTCACAAGTTCTTTCAGAGCTGTTCTCTCACGAGCAGTCATTGAAGAGCTCTCTCAGCCCCGCCTCCCTCACAGGGTGTCTGTTGTGGGGAGGGGAAGGAGAGTATAAGCCGCTCTGAGACGCCTTCAGGTAGTGAAGGGCGGGCTATAAAACGTCTTCTTCTTCCAGAACTGCAGACAGTATTTCCTCTTAAATCTTTAACTCGTTTTTCAGCCTTTTCATAGAACAGCCCAGCTATTCATTCTTGGCAGGTCTTGGGAAGGGGAAGAGAAGCCCTCGGCCAGCTGACTCGAAAGATCTTCCTTACCTCGCAGGTGTTTGCCTCGCTTGACTAGCCATTCCCACCCGTGGCTACCAGCCAGGATCCACAATCCCGACAAGGGTGGAGAGGTTCTCCCACTCCTTCAACCTGTCATTATGCTATTTGTTTCCATCCGTGAACACAAACAAGCACCCAGCCGGAGCTTTGGACACCTGCCACGGAAACTCCTTTCACGACACAGCTCTCGCGCGGAGCCCACCCCGGCACAAAGTGGACCGACACACCCAGGCACCGAAATAACAGCGGCTCATTTCCAAAGCAGCCAGGGACGGAGGAGGAGGAGGAGGAGGGGGAGATGTCTGGTGCTCGTTCCCTCTGCTGCATGCTCCACTGAGCTTAATGAAAGCCTCATAGGGCCTGAGCATCATCTCTCGGTGCCCAGTGGTGGTGTAGAGTGCCGTCAAGTCACAGCTGACTCTATGATGACCCTGTGGGGTTTGTAAGGCAAGAGACATTCAGAGGTGGTTGGCCATTGCCTGCCTCCACATCACGACCCCGGTATTCCTTAGTGGTCTCTCATCCAAGTACTAACCAGGGTCGACCCTGCTTAGCTTCCGAGATCTGACAAGATCAAAATAGGCCAGGCTAATACTATGGTGGGGCTTTGGGGGGCTCTGCCCCCTTTCTTAAAGGCACAGCCCCACAAGAATGTATCCCGTAAATGGCTTAAATGACTTTTCTTTCTGCACTGGGAACTTCAGCCTCACCAGGAAAAAAAAATTGCCCC